ATGAGAAAAAAACCTATGGAAATTCAGAGGAAGGGGAGATTATTTCCAGTTAGAGGTACTGGGGAGCAACATCAAAAAAAGACAACTCAATGCCCTTGAATGGGCAGAACTGGGACATGTGATGATGTATAACTTGGTACTACTTAGTGATTAAAATCTTGGTCTCAAATGAAGTTGCAAAAGACTGGGTATCTAAATGCAATGTGGTATCTTGGGTTAGACCCTAAAACAGAAAAAAGAATTGAGGAAGCCCATGTAACTTTAAAGAGTCCTAAGGAGTCAAAGGAAAAAGCAGAGACGGAGGAATAAAATCTTGAACTTTACTGGTATTAGGAACATTGCCCACTTACCCTTTCTACTTCTTAAACAGCACAAACACTAATAATTCCATTTCTGGGAATCTAGTCAAGGAAACTCCTTAATAAGGCTTTTACTTTATGTAAAAAAGACATTCATAGAATTTTTAATAAGAAAAAAATCAGGAACAGTCTAAAGAGAAAAATAGTTAAGCAAAACTATTATCAGGCCTTTCTCCATATTCCTACCAAGTCTACCTAACAAACTTCTCTATTTTTAAGCCACATTTCCTTGCTGTTGCTTCTAGACAGACTTTGATTTGGTAGCTCAATTATATATAACACATACTTCAATTACTATACTACTGATAAAGTACTTCAATAATTTGTTTCATGGTCCTCATTATGAGAACTTTGAGAGCAGAACCTAAGTATGTTCACGTGAGAATCCTTAGCACACAGGGTTAGTAAATAGGCTCTGCAGAAATGAAACGTTACATTATATAGGAGGCACACCTGGACAGGAGTCCCACAGAGAACAAATCCAAATTTTCTGAAGATCTGTACAATAAGCAGAAACTACAAATATCAGAAGATATAAGGAACCACTAGTAGCCCAGAGGGTAGCATATTTCCTATTAGAGGTTAGAGTCTAGGTAGCTGTATTACCCTGATAATATCACTGAGTAGAAGGGCTATTTTCATAGAAGGAATATTAACAATATGATAGATCATGGTGACACTAACACTGTGTTTTATCTAAGAATCCAGGCTCTAAAGTGATATGGCCCCCCGTCTGAATTTTAGCTCTGCCTTAATTTCCACATCTATAGAATGAAGGTGACAAAATTAAGATCTCTCTCATAAGCTTGTGAAGATTAAATGAGATGATGCATACAAAAGCTTGGCACAGTGCCTGGTACATAGCAAATATTCAAAGTTAATTTTTATTATTGCCTCTCAAACTTCTGGCCTCTACTTACATCAGCTGATTCAGATGGCAAGGAAAGAAAGAATCCCAAGAAACCTGGGCAGCATCTGTAGGAACTGTGACGTGATGGAATAAAACATCACATCCTGGTGGCACAGTTCACGTTTTATTGCTAGTGACTGGACTCTGGAGAAGAAAAATAAGTATAAAAAATTCAGAGCCCACTGGAGTAACTAATCCAAGTTACCACTGTGTTGAAGGTACCATGCTTTGTGTCAGAGTAACACAGTAGCAGTAATAGTAGTAATAATACTGTAATGATAGTAGCAGCAGTAGTTAACGTTCACAGAGCACTTCCTATGTGCCAGCTACTGTTTTAAATGCATTTCATGTATTAACTCATTCAACCTATTAAGTCTTAGAAATAAGCACTTAGGCTGACGAGCCCAACAGCTCTGGAGTTAAATCGTGGTCCTGCCAGTAATGAGCAAGTTACCTCACTTCTCTGAGCATTAGTTTTCTCCTAACTGGGAGTGAGCACACCTAACCCACAGGCATAATGTGAGGATTGTCTGAGATAACAAACGTAAAGTACCTATCATGTGCCAGATAACCAGCTGATACCCTCGTAGCTGTGTCTTTATTATTGCCGCTAATATTATTATTACATCTGAGGACCAAAAACATCATTCTGCAGGCATGCAGAGTAAAGTTTCAAAAGGGGGAACTTTTTTCTTCCTTCCTGAGTTCCTCTTAGCCTTTTTCTTTCCCCAAATGGTAAGCATCTATATTAAGCTTTTCTCAGAATAAACTATACATGAATACAAAGTAAAATATTATACAGATAAAAAGACCTTTAGAGTAGCTTTAAAAGGTTTCTTTTCCCCCCTCTGGGAACACTAGTGGTGAAAATACTATATTTCCTTCAAGTAAATAGTGCTGAAAAGAATGAAAATGGCATATGGCTGGGGGAATCTTCCAAAGAAACTACTCTACACAGCCATCCCCCGTTCTTTTCTCTGCCTTTTAAGGTCACAGTAACAGGATAGAAAATCTGGGACTCACACCATCTGTCCAGACAGTTCCATCACTGCTCATTTCTCTTGTTAAATAATTAGAACACTTCACACTTCCCAAACACTGCTACAATAAAGAGCAGTTAAAGCAGAATGATAGAGGCTCTTTCTATGCAGAAATGTAGTGATTAGAAATGAACCATTCTTTTGAAGTTTGTGGGTTTCAGATCATGTCAGTGAGAAGAAAGAAATTCAAGTCTTAGAAGGAAATTTAAGAATAAAAGAATTATAATACTGGCTCTAGAAAGTATCTTTCTTAGAAAAAAGGTGACATCCTCATATGACTTCTCTAAGAATAGATTTGGCAGTTTAATATTGAGTTAATTATATATGTATCTAATCTGTAATTTTCTCATAAGACTATGAAGAGAGATCATTTTCTTTACCCTTGTCCTACTAGTATAGTAATAGTAATAGCAGCTAATAATTACTTGGCACTCAGGACATCTTTAATTCTCTTCAAAACCCTTTTTTGTATTAACTCACTTAATCCTTAAAGCCATTCTATGTAGCAATTTCTATTATTATTCCCATTTTACACTTGAGGAGACTTAGGCGGAGAGGTTAAATAACTTGCCCAAGGTAAAATAGCTGGTAAAGTATAAAGCTGGGGTTCAAAAGCAAGTTGACTGGCTCCATCCCTTTAATTTCTGTGCTACACTATCTTACAGTTTTTAAAGAAGCCTCTAAATTATACATTAAATTCAGCTTTTTTTGTGGGTTTTTTTAAAGGTTTATTTATTTAATTTAGAGAGAGAGCGAGAGAGAGCGAGCACAAGAGGGAGGGAAAGAGGGAGTGGGACAGAGAATCCCAAGCAGACTCCATGCCAAGTACGGAGCCTGACACAGGACTCTATCTCATGACCTGAGCTGAAACCAAGAGTTGGATACTCAACCAACTGAGCCACCCAGGCACCACCAAATTCAGTTTCTTTATTATATCTGAATAAACAAATTATAGCTGAATGTCATAAACACTTATCCCCATTCACCTAGTCACAGGGAGAATGTCAATTATATATTCATTAACTTAATTTCTGTCTTATATTCAGAGCTTACCCAGCATGAATGTGTTGTCGTCATAAAGCAAAATAATTTTTATATTAAATAAAAGTTTCAAGTATATCCTCTGGGGTCAATGTCAGTTTGGGGATACTTTATAACTAGAAAAAGGTTTGGATTACTCTCAAACCTCCAGAATTTACCTTACATGAAGACTCCTTGCCTTCAAATAAAGATTCAGCAATACCAAGAGGGTGTGTAAATGTACCCAGGAGAAACCAGTCTGAATATGGCATTTCTCTTCTGTGTCACAGAATTCTCCCCACTCTGCCCAATGGCCCAAATTTATGATAGAAGCTCCAATCTCAGCTAGTTAGTGAGTCAAATTTAAGCTTCTGGTCACATAACTACCATAATAATGACAGTAATAATAATAATCACTTTAGTAATCATAACAACAATGATAACCATCATTTACTGATAATGAATGCTCAGCATTATGTCAGGTGCCTCATATCGTCAGGTGTATCAGGGAGACAGTGGGGAGTAGTGGTTAAGGGACAGGCTGCTGTCTGAGTCCTTTCATTACTTGCTGTGTGGTCTTGAACAAACTACTTACATTCTCAGCACCTCACAGAATACCTGTCTCCTAAGATTGTTTTGACGATTAGATGTGTTAACACATGCAAAATGTTCATAACAGTCAAATGCATAGTAGTGCTACCCAAACCTTAATAGACTAGGAGATTAATGTTCAGAGAAAAGCTAAAGGCCACAAATAGGTTAGGGTGCAGCCAAGGTCCCCCAGGTCTGCCTTGACTCCAAAGTCCATGCTCTTTGGGTTCTCATTCCCATTCCTTTGCCTCTCCTTCTCTTTCTCTCTCAGAATTGAGAATAGGTCAACTGCTTCATAAAGGAGAGCATTGTTACTCTAATGTCATTTTTGTCTTTTCTCATCAGAGAGTTTTACTGTAGCAGCATTAAAAAAAATGTTAAAAATGTCAATCTAACATACTGCACTCCATCAATTCCGAGACATTTCCCCCCACCCAAATTTTTCCATCTGTGAATCATGTGTCTTAGAATTATAATTGACAGTATTTTTCCTTTCTGAGTAGCACATAAAATAATGGTGCATCTTACAATCCATACTATCTTACATTTGACAAAATATGGTAGCTGTTAAGCTCAATGAGTATGCTTTAAGGATCAGCCCTCAGTCATTGTTGAAGGCTCATTCCTGAGCTTGCCGAGCATTTGTGGCCTCAGACCAGTTCAGTTCCAGTGTCCTCACTTAATCTTCACTTCACCCTATCTCCTTCTTACTGACCCTTACCCATTTCCATCAAATTAACAAGCTCCTGTAACTCTAACAGCCAATCAGTATTTTGGCTAAGGCTCTGGGCTTGGTTTTTGTGTTCCTTGTTTTGGTTTTCCCTTTCTGATGACTCAAGGGCTTCTAATCATAATGACTCTTTGGACTGAAGTCCCAGGGGCACTTCCTCCTCTTACACTGTCCTTATAAGTAGTCCATACTTTCCAAACACAATTGGGCTTTATGGGTAAACTGAGGAAGTTAGCTAAGAGTGAAGCTGTGACAGTCTTTCGTTTGTTTTTCATTTTCAGTTACTTACTATTTCTACCTTCTGAAATTATTTCTCTAGCCCCTTTTATAAGTACTTATCTGATTCATACTTAAATTTTTTTCCCGTTTTGGCCTGAGTGCCTCCATTCCACATATGGTCAGTCTCTTCATAGAAGAAAAAAATGTCGAGTTTTATATCATCTTTTCCTTGGAAAGATAGTTCCAAGCTGTCCTCTACCTAGGAGGAAGACAAAAACCATCACAGACTGAAACGAAGGAAATATATTTTCTTAAAAAAAAAAAAATTTTGTTTTATAGAGAAAGAATACTGATTCTAAGATAATATATTTTTTCAAACTGGAACATCTCTTAAATTGGGATTTATCAATAGCGTGCCAAGATTTGATTTCTTTTTTAAATGCATATAAAATAATGTTGCTTCTGATAATTAATGAAAACTCAGAGTAAATGATTTACAGTAGCTCAATTACCACTCTGCAGAACATTCTGTTCCTGAGCCCCTTTCTGACTAAAGAAGGAAAGGAACCAAAGAAAAATGATTCCCTTTAATAATCAAGAAAAACTATTAGGAAATAAGTCTCTCATCTCAATCAATAATAAGTACTTAAATAAATGTGGCATCATAGAAACCCATCTATGTAGCATAAATTATATTATGTATATGAAAAAAGAAAAAACAAAAGTTAAAGATACAAAGAATTCTGAGAACATTTCCCTAAAGAAACTTAACCTACAAATAATTATGTTCCCATTAGACTTGGTGCCTCTGTCTTGTTATAGCACTAATCACATAATTACTATGTGCTTTTTTTTTTTTCCCCAATTAGACAGTGAACTCCTCAAAGAAAAGTACTGTAACTTATTCATCTTTGTGTCCCAGGTGCAGAGTGCAGTGCCAGGCAGAAAGTGAGTGTAGAGTAAACATTTGTTGCATGCCTAGAGTTCTACTGCTTTGACTCTGACCTCTGGAAAATATTTTATTAAATATTTTTTATAAACTGGAATAATTAGGATAAAGAAATTTTTCAGTGACTAAACATACTTCTACTCACTTTCCAGGACAACACCTCACTGGGAACAATCAAATTAAGAGTAAGATGTTGTTTGGGGGAAAAAAAAAAGAGTAAGATGTTTGCAAGGAATCATGGGCTTAGGGCATAGAAATCAAATTGTCTAAAAGGAGATTTCATTTAAGTCATGATGACCTATTCCTAGTTGAACTCAGAAAATTGCTATGACCCAGAACCTGTGAAATAAATAAGAAATTCAAGTACTATTTGAAATGATTCTATATTTCTAACCCTTAGCCACCAAAGGACCGTTTCATGTTGATAATGACAGGATGCCTAAGTGAATATGAAATTAAGTGACTTATGAGAAACAATATAATTTCAGGTGGGGTAGGTGAGATTCTTAATAATTGTATTAATTTTACATTACATGGTATACTAATTACATTATATTGTTATCTAACATAATGGCAATAAATTCACCTGCAAGAGTTCAAGATCCTTTTCTCCTTCTCATTGTCAAAAGAAAGACAGATTTTCTAGTTTCCTTAAATAGTGCAAAAGTCACATAACAAGCTTCTGCTAAGCTCAGCCTGGCCAGTACTGAGTGATACACATGTAACATTCTTAACCATCTCTGAGTTGTTTAATATAAACTTTACTTTTGAGACATGGTACTTATGAAGTAAAGCAGATTTTTACTACTGACCTTCCCAAATTTGTGTTTGAGTGGAAGTCCTACATCCTGAAATGCTGAAATAATATCAGATTTATAATCTTGTATAAAAATTCCTAGGTCAACATCTTTACTATAAGGAATAATGTTGCATTGCCGATACCACCCTAAAAACAAAAAAGAAACAAGAAAACTTTTTAAAAACTTAAGTTTGGAAAAAATTAGTCACTATTGTATGATCTTTGTAAGAGTGGATTTTATTTCTTAAGATTAGACTCACAGTGCTTTACCAAAAATATTTTTAAAAAATTAAATCCCGGGGCACCTGGGTGGCTCAGTCGTTAAGCGTCTGCCTTCGGCTCGGGTCATGATCCCGGGGTCCTGGGATAGAGGCCTGCATCGGGCTCCCTGTTCCGCGGGAAGCCTGCCTCTCCCTCTCCCATTCCCCCTGCTTGTATTCCCTCTCTCGCTGTGTCTCTCTCTGTCAAATAAATAAATAAAATCTTTAAAAAAAAAAAAAAAAATTTAAATCCCAAACTAAAATCTGTGGTTATAAGAAGCCATCTGTTGAAGAACCTTTCTTTCCTTTTTTTTCTTTCCTTCATTTTTATTGCTCTGAGCACTCAGCATCCTCAAAAACTTTCATGATGTATTTTAATTTCTAAATAAGCCATTAGTTTTAATAATGTTAACTGGGCCAGGCCGCCAGGGTGGCCCAGTTGGTTGGGTATTTCAGCTCAGGATATGATCTCAGGGCTGTGGTACTGAGCCCTGCATCAGGCTCCGCGCTCCATGCAGAGTCTGCTTGTTCCTCTCCCTCTGCTCCTCCCCTGCATTCTCTCTCTCCTCTCTCAAATAAATAAATAAATAAATAAATAAATAAATAAATAAATAAATAAAATCTTTAAAAAAATAATGTTAACTGGGCCATCCATTTAAAAAAATTAAGTTACTTTTGAGAATGTTTGATCATAAACCTCTAATGATTGAAGGCTGCCTTTAAGGTATGCTAAAAAATATAATTTAATTCTTTTGCTTAACCAATATCCCCTTCCTGAGAAATAATTTATAGAGCAGCTCTGAACAGCTCGTGTCTGATGGCTCATATATTTATTTATTTCAGAGAAAGAGAGCGTGAAAGTGTGGGGGGAGGAGGGGAGAAGGGAGGGGGAGAGAGAAACTCAAGCAGACTCCCCATGGAGCATGGAGCCCAACGAAAGGCTCGATCTCAGGATCCTGAGATCACGACGTGAGCTGAAACCAAGAGTCGGTCGCTTAACCGACTGCACCACAAGGTGCCCCTGATGGGGGTCATATAAAAAAGAGAAGTATCATCCTCAATTTTCAGCACATTGTCAATACCAAAAGATATTTCTAGGTATATTTACTATGTACCTACTTCTCAATTAGGTGCTCTACTACTGTTCTAAAAAACCAAAATCTATACCGTAATACTACTAAGGGCTCTTGAGTCTCCCCTGTATCCTTCTAATTCTTTCATCCAAATTATTCAGAAAGTATATAAATGTCTATGATTGTCTTTACAGGCATTGCTATTGGGCAACACTGTTTGGCATTCTAAACTTTAATTTCATTGTAACACAGATGTTTAGAAGTCCAGGATGGCATCTCATCTCTAGCTTGAGAAAATTCCACACTCCACATCTATCAGAGAATCATAAACTATTAAAAATGGAAGGCTCCTTGGGGCAACTGGGTGGCTCAGTTGGTTAAGCATCTGACTCTTGATATCAGCTTAAGTCTTGATCTCAGGGTTGTGAGTTCAAGCCCTGCACTGGACTCCACGCTGGGTATGGAGCCTACTTAAAAAAAAATGGAAGGCTCCTGAAATAACATCTAATTCAACTCCTTCATTTTGCTCTTAAATGAAGAAAACCATGGGGCTAAAAATGCATAATAAAACATGACAAGTAATTAAGAAGTATTTCTGATGACATAGTTTTATAACACAATCTTACTTCAAAAAGTTAAACCTTAAAGCATATATCATATACATGTGTGAGATGTGTTCTTTTTTTCTTGGCTTACTCTACCTAAAAGCTCTGTGACAATAAGAACCACATGAATTTCCACAAAGCCTAATAAATAGGATAACCATATATCCCAGTTTACATCTGTCATATCAATATAATTACTAATGGTACTCCTTTTCACTCTTAAAAGTCTCTCGAATTGGACAACAAATTATATTGTAACACTATAAAAACAGAAGCAGAATTAATTTTTGTACAAATAAAGTTATAATCAAGAAAGAATACAGTTATGACCAACTATAGTTATTAACAAGAGGGCATAAAAACAACAGAATTTAGATTCTTAATAATTCTAAATTCCAAGAAGTTTGATCTAATGTATAGTGGAAGGAGATCCAAAAATCTTTCTCTGATGCTAATAACAACTCGCATAAGGACTCTAGAAAAGTGTACATTTCCCCACCTCAGGATGAATGGAATGTGGTAAGGCAGTGATGTAACCAGTGAGAGTATCAGTGACCTGGAAAAGACTTGTAGAAAGACCTTATGGAACTCCCTTCAGTCTTTTTCTCGTTTGCGTAAGTAAATGTGTAAGTAAGTAAAGAAATAGAATAGAGGTTTTTTTGGGTTTTATTATTTTTTTTAAAGGCAGAACAATCTTTGGGACAGAAATAATAAAATGCTAATCCAAGGATTGCCTGAAGATCAAATATAGTCTACATGTTCTGATATAAATTTTATACATGACTTACAGTTTTTGGTAAACAAAACATGGCCTTCCTAACTCTCTTGTATGTTTCTGAAATTAATTTCTTTAAAGAAATCAAGAAATTCCTGCTCCGTGCACTACATTTATTCTGTCTATAAATATGACACTTCAAATATCACTGATGTTTTGTCATCTCAAGCAGTTATCCCTAAAGCCAAAGAGGATGAAATGACAAAAAGACAAATGTAAAGCAATAAGAATTTTACCTAGACAAGTTCCACTGCTCAGCCAGAACCGTACTCCCAATTTCTTTAATGTTTTGGCTGCCAGTTGCAATAATTCCTTTGCATTCTTCCGAAAGGCCATAGCTTCCACAGTGTTATCATCAAGGTACTGCTACAGATACAACAAATACTCAGCTATTACAGCCATTTCTAAATTGCTAGAAATATTTCTGTGACATCTAAATTAAATCTGAAAATTAACCCCATATTATACATTTTTCTATTATAAAAAAATCAAGTTTCAGAGTTCCTTGTTAGTTGCTCATTTATAAGACTACAGGAACAGATTCTAGAAAAAGACAAGTTAAAGGGGAAGGAGTATAACCAGGATTCCCAAAGGATGAGACTTCCACTTTTATCAACTCCCTTCACATCACAATTGAGCAGATTGGGCAGTTAGGAGAAAAGAAGACTAATTCTGAGAGCTATAAGCATATCTGAGCCAAAAGCACTTAGTGACATTTTCATGATTCACTGATTCAGTTGGTCTTTAGAGACTACAGGGCATAATAAAAAGAGCCTGGGATTTTGGTTCAGATTATCTGTGTTCAAGTCCAGCCCCACTTCTTCTTAGCTGTGGTGCTGGGCGTATCACTTCAGGAGAGCACAAGCTCCATGAGGAAAGTGACTTCATTTTATCACTTTATCTCTAGAGCCCAGCACAGCACCTGAACATCTGCGGAATGAGTGAGAGAGTGAAAGAACAAAGCTCTCTTAGATATGGTTTCCTCATCAGGCACTAAAGGATACTAATTACACTTTGCAGGACCGCTGTGAAGACTTAATGACACAATGGATTACAGAAAAATGCCTCATAAATATGAAGTTCTAGACAAATATTATCATTTACCTAGTCATGCTTTTCTAATTTTCTCCATTTTTAGGGTGTTCTAGACTGAGGAAAACACTATAAATTCTTCAGTGATGCTTCATTACCTATGGGTCAAAATCTAAACTTCTTTGCATAGGAGACAAGGACATTTGTGTTGGGGTCCCTGACTACTGGTCCAGCCTCACCGCCCCTCTCCTCACACTTCATAATACAGCAATAACCTCTAACTCCCCAAATACACCATGACTTTTCAAGCCTCTGTGCCTTTATACGTGTTTCCTTTCTCGGAAATGCTCCTGACTAACAAAATCTTTCAGGTCTCAGTTCTACCTTTTGAAAAACATTCCCTAATTTTTCTAGGAAGATGTATTTATTCTCCCAGTGCTACCCTTTGTTCAACATTTAGGGAGCAAAGAATAATATTTGTCCTAGATACAGACAAAGACAAATGAAAGAATCTGTCCAATGAGTTTATAATAGTTACCATGTGTATACACTTTCACTATAATTATTATCATTTTTAATTCACATTATTGGTTTTACTTAGGTTTCCTCCACTAGGCTGTAAAGACAGTTCCTTGAGGGCGTGTACTAAACCTCTGCATCACTGTATGTAACAATTTAGAATGGTGCCTGACACATAATATATGAGTATCACATATAGTGGTGAATGGGTAAATGAATAAATGACCAAGCCCCTCCTGTACTAGGCCCTGCCTACAATATCCAAAATATCCTGTCATTCTTTTACAATATAGCAGGAGAAAATATAGCTGCTGGAGGGACTCTAAGGATCTTAAGAAAAAAGTATCCCTAGGAAGAAAGTGGGATCCCAGAAGATAAGTTGCCTTCTCTACACATACAAATTATACAGGATCCCTTCAAGATGAAAACATTCTCAGAGCTACAGCTTCTCTGAGAACACATGATTGGAATGGGAGGCACATGTTCTTATCCTTGGTGTGATGGAAAATACTGGAGACGCAAGACTTAGTCTATGCTCAGCCAATAATGACTGTGTAGCACACTGAAACCTCAATTTTTTTATTTGTTAAAAGCAAATACTTGCCTAATTTCAAAAAGTGACTGAAAGGGTCAAATTAAGTAACAGACATGAAACTCTGTGCTTGATAAAGACATTACTCTGATAGTTATGTCCTACTGAGGCTGCCCCTGCATGGACATACTCTTACCTGACATACCTTTCCTAGCACGACACTCCCAGAAATTCCATTTCTTAGAATTGACCCCATATGTATTAAAGTATATACACCTATAAACCTTTTGCATCTGTTAGGGATTTTTAAAATTATAGTATGCATGTTTTTTCTACTTAAAGATGTCTTATATCAATCTTGGGCTTATCACGCCTCTAGAAAAAGACAAAATCCTAATTTAAATATCATGTCCATTTGATCTTTGTTATTCAGGTAACCTTTCCCCAGGCTTCCCCCAAAATACGGATGGAAAATAACGTGACATTTATTTTATAGATGAGGAAATTAAGACTTAGAAATTTGTCCAAAGTCTCAGAAAAAAATTAGTAAAAGAAGGAGGATAATATAGCTTTGTAGATATCCCTAGGCCAGGTGTCCAGATAGTTCCATATTTCCCTCTGGTTTTTCACTGGAATTCAACAGACTGGACTGAAAGTCATTAATTATTTTTTGATGGTTACTGCTGAAACAAAATCAAGTTCAGGAAAATGTATATTATCCTACTTCTAAACTTCTTGGTAGATTGAGAAAATAAAAGTAAATAAAGTAAGTCAAGAGAGCATTTCCTCTTCTCCTCCTCCTCCCTTCCTGAACTATTCAATACTAGAATTATTAGGTAAGGCAGAGCAAGAAAAGGCACATGGGTGGCCTGGTATGGGTATCAGAGCCTGAGGAAGTGATGAGGGAATCCACATGGAGGGGACAGCCCCTCCATGTCCAGTGTGGGGAGTCAGAGCCCAAGTAGTTTGAGAAGTGTGTCCATAGATGGGGGCAGCACAGGGGGAGATTAGCAACATTCAAGCAGGGTGAGGACAGCAACCATGTGGGAGAGGGGACAGAAGCAACGACAGGAGATTGAACAAATAAGCAAATGTATTAAGAATAATAGGAGTCAAGTTTCTCACTGTTTGAGAAGGGAGTCACAAATAAGGAAATAAACCCTATGCTGTTTAACTGAAACATAAATTAGTTGGACTGGCAATATCTATGTAAATTCATGGATCTTGATAGATAGACGGATACAGAAATAAACACACACACACAGTCACTGAGAGGGCCTGTGTGCAACAAAACCCAAGTAGCAAAGAGCACACCTGGCATCCAAACCTTGGCTTCAAAAAGGAACCAGGACTTAGAGAAATGGCTGATTCCAGTGTTGTCTCAGGGAAATTACAAGATGAACCTAGAGCATCTTGTTCCAAAAAGCAAAAAAGTACTCAAAAAATGATGAAGGCATGTCAAAAAGACATGTAAGCCATCATGAAGAGGTTCCCACTGGCCAAATAGAGAATAATTTGAGGATCAAAGTAAGTAATGAAAATAAAGGGGGCTCCTGGCTGGCTCAGTCAGAAGGGCATGCGACTCTTGATCTCCGGGTTATGAGTTCAAGCCCCACATTGGGTGTAGAGATTACTAAAAAAATATGAATTAATTTTTAAAAAAGAAAATAATGGACTATAACTTATTGAATAAAATAGGAAATCATGAGTTCATACTGATGTAAACAAATAAATTGAAAGATTGATAAGGATGTTGACAATTATTTTTTAAGAGAGAGAGAGTGCAGAAGTAGTGGAGGGGCAGAGAAGGGGTAGAGGGAGAGAGAAAATCTTAAGCAGGCTCCATGCCCAGTGCAGAGCCTGATGTGCGGCCCAATCTCATGACCCTGAAATCATGACCTGAGCTGAAATCAAGAGTCTGACTCTTCACCAACTAGGCTACCCAGGAGCCTCAGGATATTGACAATATCTACCTGGTGTTAAGGTACCTTTGGGGCACCTGGGTGGCTCAGTCAGTTGAGCTTCTGACTGATTTTGGCTCAGGTCATTACCTCATGGCTCATGAGATCAAGCCCCACAACGGGCTCTGTACTCAGCAGGGAGTCTGCACGGGATTCTCTCTCTTCCTCTGCCCCTCCCCCACACCTCATGCACGCTCTCTCTCTCAAATAAATAAGTAAATAAACCTTTAAAAAAAGATTCATACCAAATTTCTATTAGTTACAAAGGAAAAAACAGAAACTTTAGAGGGGTGAAGCTAGGATACCACTTTAATCAAGTGATCAATGTGAATATCAGCAGTAATGGGACAAATCACAACCATGCAGCACCTGATAGGATGTAATGAGAAAAACATAGAATCACTTCTGTATTATTCCTACTACAGGTGTATTACCTGAATCTAACATGAGGAAAAACCAGACAAACCTCAAACAGGGACAATTTACAAAATATCTGGCCTGTAATCTTCAAAAGCATCAAAGTCATAAAAGTTAAAAAAAAGACTATGAAATCATTCCAGACTGGAGGAAACTAAAGAGAGAAAAATTAAATACAGGAGTGCCTGGGTGGCTCAGTCAGTTAAGCGACTGACTTGATTTAGGCTCAGGTCATGATCTCAGGGTCGTTAGATCAAGTGCTGGGTTGGGCTCCACGCTCAGTGCAGTGTCTGCTTGGGATTCTCTTTCTCCCTCTCTCTTTACCCCTCCCCCCACTCACATTCTCTCTCTCTCTCCCTAAAATAAAAAAAAAATCTTTAAAAAAATAGAGGGAAAAAGAAATATTAAATACAACATGTGATTCTAAATCTTTTTATCATATTTTACTCTGAACTGGATCCTTTTATTATAAAGGCCATTACTGAGACAATTAGCAAAACTTGAATGGGGTTAAATAGTGATACTCTATGTGTTAACTTCCTGATTTTTTTATTAAGACAATGTAGACAATGTCCTTGTTTTGGGAAAATAGTAAATTATTTGAGGTTGTGGGATACACAGTCAACAACTTACTCCCAAATGGTTTAGGAAAAAATTACTTGTATTTCATTTATAACTTTCCTGAAAGTTTGAGAATGTTTCCAAAAAAATATTAGAAACAGAAAGTTAGAAGTTTGTTTTATGAGCTCTATTAGATTAGTTCAGTGCTTGTTTTACACCAGACATTATATTTCAGACTGTTTGGCGCCATCAAGTGTTCAAAGTGATGTATGCTCACTTCAATTTGAAAACTGAAACTCCTGGTACTTTTAAATGATGAAGAATGAAACATTTAAGAGAACAAGAAAAAAGAGTTATCAACCTAATTAGGCACCCTACATCAGTAATATCAATACAACAGCAAAAGAGAAAAGCAAATTAGAAATCACAAGTATACCCTGCTTCAAGTGAAGGACACACATGATCCTACTATAAATATAAACCTCCAGACAGGATTACAGTCTCCAGTGTGATGGTACTTTAAACACCAAAACTACAAGGCTATATATGATAAGCCCTCTGAGCATCTGTCATTCGCATCCTTTACTCAAATGCTGGTTGAGTGCTTGACTGAAAATTTCAAAAGCAATAATAAAAATACAGAATTAAAAAATTTGATACTATCCTAATGCTGTATCAATATTTTGAAACATTTTATATTTTATACTGCTTTCTCACAGAGATCAACAAAATGAGTCTGGGGAAATGCTTGCTAGGTAATGGAGCAGTCCTAATAAGTATCCTTAAAAAAAATAATTTCATTCAGATGAGCACCTTATTCTCCATATATTTTTCCATAATTCTAGGATCTTTTCTTTGTGCCAGATGCTGTTCTAGATACTAGGGCTACAGAGGTGAATAAAGTAAGATGCCTGCCATCAATTAGTTCACATCATCTAGTAGGGGGACAAGACCTACATTCACAATTCACTGTGATAAGAGCTCTGACGGAGGCAGCAACCAGAACAAACTCCCTTAAGGCCAGAGGAGTGGGTGGTCAAGTCCAAGCACCAGGCTGCATCGTCTCTGCGTCTTGTTATTACCACGTGATAAATGAAGATCAGCGCTTGCCTATGAGAGTAGGCCCATCCATAGATGCAGTTTGCCAGCTTTTCATCCATGAGGCTGACTGGGTATGTTTCACAGCTCCACAATCACAGATTTAAGGGGACTGGGCTGGGAAGACCCACCAGGGAGGCTGGCAGGCCTCGGTCCAGGGGAATAACACAGCCTACCAGAAAAACCTTGCATTTGTGGGTGTGGGGCACTTGGCCAGTGATGATACGGCTGGTATTTCATTTCCTCATTCCATTCCTGTCCATGTGTCTACAGTTTTCTTGGAAGGGAATCCCAGAAAATAAAGGGCAAGTGGAAGGATTAGGGTACCAAAACCCCACCATAAATCTGTTTTTACTGTATTTCTGTTTCAAGTCATACCTTAGAGCTAAACCTTGATGTCTCTCAAAATCATCTTTACATCCCCAGGGTCAGGAGAGTTCCTGGGAAACAGGCTTTCAATAAATGTTTATTGAATTGAAAGCTACAGCAGCAGAATAAAGTAAAGTTCAAAAAGCACTGGTCTCTGTGTAGCATTTACCTTCAAAAACCTTCATAAACACAAAAAATTCATATTCATTTCATTCCATGAAATCTTTTCCAAATCTACATGGTCTATCTTCTACAGCGGCTTCATCCTAACTGGGGTGCTTCAAGAACACACCACCTTTGATAAAGCATATGGTGTATCCTAACTGAAAGCAGAGGCCAGTGCTAAACCTACCAAAAGTCTATTCAAATAAAACAGTGTCTCCATAAACATCACACCATTCAACTAGGGAAGAAATAGTTTCTTAAGGTTAATGTTTAATCTACTTTAGGGCACCTGGATGGCTCAGTCGGTGAAGCGCCTGCCTTCAGCTCAGGTCATGATCCTGGGGTCCTGGGATTGAGTCCCGCATCAGGCTCCCTGCTCAGGAGGGAGTCTGCTTCTCCCTCTGCCCCTCCCCCTGCTCGTGCTCGCGCTCTCTCTCTCAAAAATAAATAAAAAATCTTTAATCTACTTTTAAAAAATTAAAACAATCTAGAAGAAAACAGATGAATCGAAAAAGATGTTTTCTTACTGATTTTCCGTAAGTCCCTTCATTTCCTCCCCCGAAATATTAAAAATAAACACATCTCTTTTTACAAAGTACAACACTTGATTATTTCTAACCTGAAAGAATGCTCGAGCTTCTTTATACCTACACTCAATAAACCTAGAGTGTGGTATTTCTTCTAGAAAGTGCACTGGATCTTTCGGGATGAAAACTTCTAGTCCATCAACAGTAATTTGTTTCAACTCTGGCCTGAAAACAAAAGTTAAGATTTATTACAAGGACTTAACCCAGAAAACTGGTAGCCTCTTCAAAATATACAACATAAGTAAAACAGCTAAACATCAAGCATATTTTCCTCAGTTACCTCTGAGATCACTTTTTAAGATCTACTCTCTCAGCAACTTTCAAATATACAATTCAGCACTGTTATCTATAGTCACCACACTGTACATTATATCCCCAGAACTTATTTGTAACTGGAAGTTTGTACCTTTTGACCATGTTTACTATGTAAGCATATATCCATCAACATACTTTCTCCTGTGCTTGCACTTTTTATAAATATAATCAAGAGCTGTATTATTTTATGTCTTGCTTCTGTCACTCAACATTGTAGGATTCATCTATATTGTTACACAGAGCACTAATTCATTCACTTCCATGTTCTACAATATTTCATTGTATGAATATACGATGTTTGGCAGCAATGAAAACAATGTTGTTATGAACATTCTTATATATATTTCCTGATGCACATGTCCCTGAACTTCTTCCTGTTGAATATTTACATTTCAAAACTGATTTGTGTGAATTACATATTAGATTTAATTACTAAGTGTAAACAAAGAGTAAGAATTCATGACTGGACAATAGAGGTTTCAGAACTCATCTTTAGATCCTGAATTTACCTGTCAAAAGCTCCAGGATAACGACCAAACTGTAACTTTCGAAAAGGAACAAATTTCCTATCCATGTGTCCTTTGAGTCGTAAATGGCCATGCCAGAGGTAGTTGCCATTCCTCTCATGAAAGACCACCAAGTGGATGGCATGATTGGCCAATCTGCAGACGTAGTGCAGGGGAATTTCAGTTCCAGAAAGGGAGTCTATCCCATCTAGCCGGGGATCTTTGCTCTTAATCTTTAGGCATTGAAATCCCATATTTTCAGCTATCCGGAACCAGCCTTCCTAAAACAAAAGAAACATCAAGCTTAAATATTTAAAACCAAATACTGGTAGCAAAACTAAAGTGATTCTTACACTGAATTAAGCCATACATATTTTTGCTAATCTGCTCTTTGCCCAAAGATTTCAAACTAAGGGTGGCAAGGGGGAAGGTGGTGGTGGGAGAATAAAGGAGAATACCAAAAAGGGAAACTACGTAGCTTGGTGGACATGTTCAAAGACTCTCTTTATGCAAATTAATACCAATTTCTTCCTTGAAAAGAATGCTCAGGTTAGTGTTCTCTGGTTAGTATCTATACTAATAATAACCATAACAAAAAATAAACACCTAAAATGAAGGGATTTAGAAAAATAAAAGTAGCAGGGAGCAAACAACTAAACAAAAACCAAAAAACATGAAAATCTACAGAGCGAAAAAGACAAAACTGCACTCATGAAACAAGAATCCTATTATGAGTACACAAAATTTTTAGAAAAATATAAAATTTTTGAGCAAGAATATGAAGAAAATCAATGACATTGTTAAAGATTTTGCCTAAAAGTAGAACAGTTAGAAAAAAGAGATGAAAAATCATTGAGCAAAGATAAGAAAATGAGAGAATTCTGGAAGTCCAACATCCCAGTAATAAAATGGTCTTTCTTTCAGAAAGAAAAATCACTTTTAATTAATACTATCCTGAGGGGAGGGGAGTCTTACTTAAATCAATAACACAAGAAAAAGAAATAAGGTCTAAGGGTTGGAAAGGAAGAGACTAAAATGTCTTTTTGTGCAGAAAATACAACCATCTACATTCAAAGAAAGAGAAAAAGAAAGAGGGGGAATGGGAATGAGGAAAGGAGAATGGGAGGAAGAAACTTTGGAGTTTATCTATACAGTGCAGAGTTCAGAACTAGCTGGGAAATAGCATCAATACACAAAAATCAACAGCATTCTCATTACCTATAACAATGAATTGGAGAAGGAAGAGGAAAAATATTCACATTATCCACTGCCCCCACCCCTCACACACAAACATACACACAAAACTGTAAGGTAGCATGGAATAAATCTTATCAAAAATGTGTAAAATATGGAGCACCTGAGTGGCTCAGCGGGTCAAGTGTCTGCCTCTTGGTTTTGGCTCAGGTTACGATCTTAGGGTTGTGGGATTGAGGCCCACGTTGGGCTCCACACTCAGTGCGGAGTCTCCGTGAGATGCTCTCTTTCCCTCTCCCTCTGCCCCTCCCTCCACTTGTGCGTGCTCTCACAATAAATAAATAAATTAATTAAATCTTTTTTAAAAATGTACAAGATCTGTTAGAAAAATTACAATATTCTGTTAAAGCTCATTAAAGGACACCTGAATGAAAGGAGGTATATTTATGTTCATGGTTAAAAAATCTTAATATTTTAACAATGTCAAGAAACCTCTCATGTTTTTGCTTTCTCAGACTAGCCTGGATAATGAAAGACACATGGCCCAGGCACCTCCACTGCCCATCTGACAGCCAGCCATCCTGAAGAAGTAGAGCTGCCTAGCTGACTGGAAACTGAGCTTAGCTGAGATTAGAAGAACTGCCCAGCTAAATGCTACCCAAATCACTGTCACAGAATCATGAGCTACACAAATGGTTGTCATTTAAGCCACTACATTTTAGGGTGATTTGTTACACAGTAGAAGCTAACTGCTATATAAGTCAGATTAGAAACCAAATATGCAGGTAAAAAGAAACATTTTCAGATATGCAAGGTTTCAACCTCCCATTCACACTTTCTCTGAAGGGAATTCCTAAAATGTCGCGAAGGGGAGTTACAGAACAGTATCTGCACAGCAGATCAGTCTGTATTAAGGCAAAAAGACCCAGAGTTCTAGGAGGGATGTCTCCAAGGGCAAAAAAGTGGAACTGAGAGATTACCCAGTATGTTAGATCCTATTGGCAGTGTCATGTTTCTGTTACAGAGTTTATACACAGATTATTAATAGATACATAGAAAACTAGTTAACAGAAAAGGAGGAAAAAAGAGCAACTAATGAATTGTTGAACACAACAAAAACTTACGATGTACTATATGTTGGCAAACTGAACATAATGGAAAATAAAAAAAAAAAAAGAGTTGCATGAGAAAAGGAATATAATGAGATTAAATGAGGTAGCATCCAAGTGCTACCTCATAAGGTCAACACTACTGGTTTAATACAAAATGTGATATAGTCATTTTAGGATGATAATGGCAGAAGAGATTGTGTGTGTATATAGGAAGACAAAATAGATATGAGCTAAATTCTCATAATTTATAAACTAAATTAGAAATATTAAAATATGAAAATTTAATTTAAAATTTTTAATATGAAACGTTAAAAACATGAAATATTTTATGAAATATTAAATATGGAATATTAAAAATAGAAGCGGAAACATTTCATTTATAAATGAGAAAATAAACAAGGTAGAAAGAGTTGAGAGTGGTTGACTCTAGGAGTAGAAATAAGGGATGAGGAGAGAAGAGCAGATATTGCTCTTTTTCCTTATGAGTTCTGTATTACTATCTGACTTTTAAAACTTAGGACTGGTATTATTTTAATTAAAAATATAAAAATTAAATTTAAAATACCACATCCTAACTTCTCCACAAGTTTAAATATTTTAAAAATATAAAATTGGGAAGAAAGAAAAAAATATGCCAACAAAAATCATGTACTTATATGTACACTTTGTCTGTCTCATCACTTGTATCACTGCCTGGAAAAACCAACTGTAGGCCAGAAAAAAGTCAAAGCTCAGTCTCTTGACGCCCTGTGTAAGAGCCCGGGGCAATCAAGGAAACATGCCGCTTATCCTGCCTTCCCATCGCCACCCTGGAGCACAAGCCTACCTACCAGTGGTCAGCACAACAAGAACAGATCCCACTGCACAGCTGGTGCACATCTATCACAGGTGGCTGACTAACTACTTAAGTTCATTTAATCTAATGCTGATTTTCTCCCCCTTATTTGAATAACTCCTCAGAATGAAAAACAGTGAAACTGGGTAGTTAGAGGTATTCCAAAAAAAGAAGTAAGCAAATTTTTGGCATGTTTGGTCGACTTTTGCTTGTAACCATTAAACAGGATGGAAATATAAGTTTGAATTTTTGGATACACTTAAGCAGCCCTCCATTTGAGTACCAAACAAGTACTGCACCCTTACAGAATGGAAAGAGTAGTGCTATAGACTAGTGATATTGCCCTCACATACCTTACGTGGCAGATACTGAATATTCATTGCCAGATCCCTTCCTACTTGCCTGCCTACACTGGTGGAAATCCTAAATACCTGTCTTTTTAGCTCCCTTTACAACAAGAAGACATAGGAGTCTAATTCTGGACAGTGAGTATAGGCAGTTTATCAGAGCTTTTGAGAAAAATTTTTGCTTCAAAGAATGAATAGCGTCACCATCCCTTCCTCTCATATGCCTGCCTTAAACATGGATGTGATGCGTGGGAACTATGACAGCTACCTTGTAATGACGAGAAAAACGAAGAAAGAACTTCAGTGATGCCATCCTGACATCAGTGGGCAGCTGAACTAGTACCAATGGCACCAATCTTTCAACCGCTTGTTACACAAGAAAAATAAGTCCCCTATTTGCTTAAGCCACTATTAAGTGTCTTCTGTTACTTATTGCTGAAAATATTCCCAATACAATTTATAAAAAGCTTTAAAGATTTTTGAAATGTTTTACTTTTCAAACTGGTTTAACCCCACACTATTTTGTAAAAGACACATTCTGTTATCTGAAAGTGAATCATCTTACCTCATTCTTCCACAGGTGATACCGCAGTGCAAACGCAGTAAAGTCTCTTGGAACACAGAAAAACTTGCATTCTGAAGTGGAGCCATGAGAAGTATTTTTGACTTGTTCAAAGTCTTTATTAATCAATTCCAGAATCAAAGGATCAATAAGGAACACTGGTACATTTTGGCTGGATGTTAGCATAATAAATTTTTTAACTGCACGCTGTTTGAGAGGAAAAGAATCCCCTTAATTCTTCTAAACCAATACAACAATCTACCTTATTAAATTTTTATTCATTAATTTTATAAGAATATATATGTTTCACTCAGTAGATTCATAATATAAGGTAAAATATGCTATAGCAAAAACATATGCAACACACTATAGAGAATAGTAAGCTACTAATTAACTGTACATCCAAAGAATAACAAAATCTTCACAGAGGAAGTTGTATCTGAAATGAAAACTCTGGGCTTACAAATTATTCCCTAGGTATTAACTAAATCTTTTTGAGCCAAAGTGGGAGAGGAAATACCAGATGTCAGTTTTTAAGAACTGGCCATGTCAACCTTTTCAAAATCAAAAATCAATTGTATGTGCCACTTTTCTTCATATTTGTAATACTGCTTAATAATTTTTCTAAGCAAAAGATTCAAACTAAAATATATTGCCTGCTTGACTATTCCCATATATAGTTTGATTTTCTAGTAATAATGTAATATTTTAAAATATAATTCTTTTGGGCAGTAAGTAGAGTCCCCTACTGAAAATGTAAATTTCAAAATTAGAATAGAAACACAATAATCACACTCAAGAGTAAGTAACACCAAACAGCAGCAAAGATAAATAGAATAACTGGTGTATATCACTGCTTAAAAACATACTTCAATGAAAGTAATAATCATTTCAAAGGGATGTACGCCATCAAAAAGGTGCCTCATAGAATTAAGGGTAAACTCTTATTCACATAATCTGAAGAAATACGTAAAATATATATAAGATATAAATAGATAGAATATTAAGAATTTTAAGGATAGAAAAAATGACCATAAAAGATTCTCTCTCTTTTTTTTTTTTTTTAAAGATTTTATTTACTTGACAGAGAGAGACATAGTGAGAGAGCGAACACAAGCAGGGGGAGTGAGAGAGGGAGAAGTAGGCTTCCCACGGAGCAGGGAGCCCGATGCAGGGCTTGATCCCAGGACCCTGGGACCATGACCCGAGCCAAAGGCAGATGCCCAACGACTGAGCCACCCAGGCACCCCAACTAAATTGAATTTAAATGAAAAATGAGATAAAGCTAGTAGTAAGTCTCTTACCATTTGTTTTTAGTTCTGAGTATGCAAATACCAAGACTACAATAATCTGTGCTCTAGAGGAGTTTATTATCTCTTAGTGGGAGAAACAACTAAGTAAAAAGTTAGAGAAACAACTCATGCTAAAAGATTCAGTAACTTAGATAAAATGGACAAATTTCTTTAAAAACACAATTAACAAATGACCACAAGATGAAACGAAAAATCTGAATTGCCCTATACCTATTACCAAAATTGAATTTATATATATATGTTATATATTCATATGTATTTGTTATACATAGATATATATTTGTTATATATCAAAACAATAGCAACAACCAGAAAAAACTCCAGACTCAATGGTTCACAGGTAAAATCTATCAAATATTTAAGGAATAATACCAATTCTACAAAAACTTTATCAGAAAACTGAGCAGGGAGGAATCCTTCCTAACTCATTGTATGAGGCCAGTATAATCCAAATACCAAAACCTAACAAAAATATTACAAAACAGAAAATTATAAACCACTATAAAGATACTAGAAAATAAATTCCAGTAGTTTAAAAAAAAAGTAAATATCCTGACCAAGTAGGGTTTATGGCAGAAATGAAAGGTTAGTTTAGCATTTGAAAATCAATCAATGAAATTCACCATATCAAAAGAATAAAGGGGGGAAATCCTATGATAATTTCAATACAGAAAAAGTATTTGACAAAATTCAATACCTATTCATGATTAAAAACTCTCAGCAAACCAGGAATAGGATACTTTCTCAAGCTGATAAAGAGTATGAACAAAAAATCTGTTTCTGAGTTGTGGGAGTTCTTTATATATTCTTGATACCCTGTCTTTTGTCAGATACGTGTTTTGCAAATATTTCTTCTTCTGTGGCATTTCTTTTCATCTTCTTAATGGTGTCTTTCAAGGAGTAGAAGTTTTAAATTTTGATCTTCTAATTTATCAATTTTTTTTTCTTTTATAGTTGTTGCTTTCTGTGCTTTACACCAGGAGAATAAAAGAAATTATTTTGGAAGAAAGATGATGATGTGACAGACACCTGCGCATATAAGGTGCTTAATAAATGTTTGTTGAGTGAATCTCTTTCAGGTTAGTGTTAAATAGAAACATGATGAACACATTTATGGCTTCATTACAATTATTGATATAAATATAGATTAGGGCAGGGTAGAGGAGAGATTCTCTAACTCACCTTCTAAATATGCCTTCCAGGTTGTTATCAATGCAATCATCAATGCTCCTTGGAAAAAGATGTCCAATTGACTCTAAATCCAATTAATTCTAAATAAACATGACTATTATCATCTGACCTTCATTTTGTTTGCAAGAAAGAAAAATGTCTTGTTGAAAACAGGGTATACTGAGACTATAATAGTCTATTCATCTAAAAGGGCTTGGTGGGACTTGTTCTTAGTGAAAGGCTAGCTCCTAATAATCATTCCCTTTCCTAAGTGCTTTCAAGTCATTGTTTAATAACTCATTCTAGAATTTTTTTCAGGGCTCAGTATCACACTTACTGATCAGATTTCACTTTTCCTTCCTTTTAAAATACTATTACAAAGTATTTTAGTACTTCTCCCCTTCCATATGATTCTGCAATTATAAAGACTAATTCTTAGCACCATGCAATGTAATTAACAAAGAGAACTCACTGAATGTAGTGAGCTGTTCTTTAATTTTTGCTCATTTATCTTGGAAGTAAACCCTTTAAAAAAAAAAAAAGAGTTATTTTCTCCCACCTCAGGATCCTTCCCTGAATGAAAAAGATGGGGCTTCCTGTTCCCCTCAGACTTCCCTAAGTCCACAGAGCAAACATCTGCTATTTTTAATAAATTAAAAGTTCATCTTGATACTTCATAACTGAGGAGCCTGGTATAGGATATCCCAGACTTTACTTTTTAAATAGTAGTTCAAAACCAATTGGTGCCAGCAAGGACCTAAAATTATTACTACTTCATTGCTGCTTCATGATTTTGAAAACCCACTTCCTATCTTAGAAGCTTCATGTCCTGGTTAAAGAGATGCCAAAGACTGAGGTCATCCACAAGAAATAACTAGTCATATCCAAAATACATACAAATAGAACAAATGTAATTTTTTAGTAGTAACTAGTAACCTAGCATTGTTTTTCATTCAAAATTTGCTTAGAAAAAAGGTAGGAAAACATTTTTATAAATGTACAGGCTCTGAAATTTATAAATCAAAACAGGGCTATATCGTACATACTGCTAGTTTTCCTTATCTTAAAAAGGAAACCAGCTGAATAGATTTTTATTCCTAATCATTATTTTCCCTTATTCATAGTTCAATTCTGATTCATATATTTTTTCATTTGGGGATGCACCATAGTTCAGTGAGTGAGAATTTTGAAGGCAAACACTTAGGAATCTGGACTCAGCCACTTATTAGCCAACTAACCTTAAACCCTTTAAGTGAACTAAGGATAACAATATGTACTGACTTCATAAAGTTTCCATAAGGACTAAATGAGATACTGCATGTAACACACTTGACACAGGGTCTACCCCTTCCTCTCCACCACCTACTCCCACTGCCCACCAAGACAGCTATTATCATCATCATCATTCAACAAATACTTATTGAGTACATAAACAAATGAACCAAATGAACACTGTAAATGAGGAATTTCATTCGTGCTTATCATACATACCCACTGTGTGCTATCAAATCCATTTCGGCTTCCTTTAGATTTTGATAAACCAGCTCCATTCTAAGAAGATAAAAAAACATTTTAGTAAACTCAAAGCTATCTTTCTCTGACTTATTTGGCTTGGCATACAGAGAACAAACTGGTTGCGGCTAAAGGGGAGGAGGTGGAGGGATGGGCAAAATGAGTGAAAGGGAGTGGGAGATATAGGCTTCTAGTTATGGAATGAATAAGCCACAGGGGTGAAAGGGACATCATGGAGAATACAGTCAATGGTACTCTAATAGTGTTGCATGACAGATGGTAGCTACACTTGTGGTGAGCATAGTGTAACTGTTGAATCACTGTGTTGTACTAATGTACTAATGTACTAACTGCTGAATCACTGTGTTGAAACTACTGTAACACTGTGTGTCAACTATACTCCACTAAAAAATAAAAATTAAAAAAATATTCAGGTCTATAGAATCAGAAGGAAGAAAGCATTATCAGTTTTCATTTGATAAGCCCCAAAATACTTTTTTTTTTTTTTAAAGATTTTATTTATTTATTTGACAGAGAGAGAAACAGCGAGAGAGGGAACACAAGCAGGGGGAGTGAAAGAGGGAGAAGCAGGCTTCCCACTGAACAGGGAGCCTGATGCAGGGCTCGATCCCAGGACCCCGGGATCATGACCTGAGCCGAAGACAGACGCTTAACGACTGAGCCACCCAGGCACCCAGGCCCAAAATACTTTGAAAGTAATAGGAAAAAGAATGTCTGATGGTCTAGAGACAATAGGGAGAATGTTTTAAGCTCAAAGAAGATCCAGAGAAGTTTCTTATGCCTTGAGTAAGTTCTTTACCTATAAGATATAGCTGGGAGGATGCTGAAGAACAGTAAGAATAGCTTTATCCTAAAAATGAAATATGCCCCAAGTTCCTAAGAAGGAGACTCATCTCCCCACTAAACTGCAAATTTAAGGGTAGGGACCAAGTCCAATCCTTCTCTGTATTGACAGTGCCTAGTATAGTGCTTGGTAATGAGTAAATGTTTAATGATGGTTTGTTAAATGCAGGGAAGGAGAGTGGAAAAGAGGACGAGATATATTGAGTAATTAAGGTAAAGCCAGAACTGGTCTCTCCTCATAAGCTCTGCAACTTAGACAATAACATTTTCATACCAAGGGATATTTGAGATTAAACCACAAAGAGACAGCTTTGTAATCTTCATCCTTAAAAAGAGACAGCAAACTGTAACACAGCCCTTGTTGCTCACCATAGCCCTCCATTAGTAGATGAGAATGAATTTCTGAGCTGTTTGCTTTCTTTGCTGGATCATTCTCATCAATATATAAATATGATATTATTTCTCCTATCTTAAAACAAACAAACAAACAACTCCTCTTTTCCCAACGAACAATTTTCTGTCCTCCTTTAAGCAAAACCCTTAATGGGTTGTCTGTTCTCACTGCTTCTGATTCCTCTCTTCCCATGAGCCCACAAGATTAATTTCACTCTTCCAAGTATTCATCAAGATCACCAATGACCTCCACGTTGCTAAATCCAATGATCAGTTATTACTCCTTGTCTTATTTGATCTATCAAGAATTGTTGATCACTTTTGTCTCACTCAAACATTTCACTTGGCTCTCAGAATCCCGACTACTGCTGGTTTTCCTGCTACTTCTCTCTGGCTGCTCCTTCTTTTTCTTATTTGCTAGGTCTTCCACCTCCAATGTATTGGCGGGTCCCAAAACTCAGACCATGAGACTTTTCTCCCTCTTTTTACTCTATGTTCACTTTCTTGGTAACTCATTAACTCTAATGGCTTTAAACACAATCTATACGCTTACAACTCTCAATTTATATTTCCAACCAAACCAGTCCTTTGAATTCCAAACTTATTCAACTATCTATTCACTTTCTTCATCTCGATGTCAAATAAGCATCTCAAACTTAACATGTATGAAAAAAACTCCAGATCTCTAACCATCCCTCAAGCTTGCTTCTCCTAGTTTTCCCATCTCAGTAAACAGCAACTTCCCTTTTCCAATTATCTAAGCCCCAAATACTAAAGTTATCCCTGACTCCTTTCTGTTTATACCCAACATCTCGCCCATCAACAAATTCTGACAGCTCTACTTTCCACTTTTCATGAACTCTGCCATTAGCTCCCTTGTCCAAGCCATCACCGTCTTATGTAAATTACTAGAACTGCCTTCTAAATGATCTGTGTTAGCCCTTGACCCAATAATCTGTTCTCAACAGAGCATCCACTCTACTACTTTTTTTAAGTCAGATCATGTCACATATCAGCTCAAAACTTTCCTATGGTTCCTAATTTCACTTAGAATAAAAGCAAAAATCCTCTATAGCCATATTCATCTCTTTGCTGTTCTTAAAACTGCCAGGCATGTTCCTGCCTCAGGACTTTTGTGCGTCCTTTGGTCTCTAGGTAATATGCTCCTCTTCTAGATATCCACATAGCTCATCCTTTTCAAATAGGCTATTTCCTCTATTTGCAATGGCCTTCCCATCCTTCTTTACCTGGAGAACTTATACTCATAAAACCAACTCAAAATATTATTTCACCCATTAAATATTCAATCATAACCTCCCTAAGTAGGTTATTCAGCTGTTTTTCATTCCTTATAAACTTTGCACTTACCCAAGCTTGAAGGGCCAAGGATAAGGACATAGGAGGATCCAGTTTTATAGGGGCCTGAAAATTATACAATTTTGGTGGTCCTTTTTAAGAAAAAGAATGCAAAAATATCTTCTGCAAACTTTACCAAAATATATAGCCCTGCAGTTTAAATTTCATTTATCTTAATGGCTAATCTATCTCTGGTGAGGAACAGTTACTGGCACCCAGTGGCTATACTGTAGCTGTTTCGGAGGAACGCAGTCCCTATCAAGCAATGATCCTACAAATAGAGAACCAAGAGACTAAATAACCTGACCACTCTTTCCTCCTGGTCTCCAACCTCCGGGTGATGTTTCCCATTGCCTGACCTCAACTAGAAAAGGCAAGGGAATTCAGCTAATGCAGTCCGTAGAGGTCAGCCTTCTGAGGCCCACAGTATGGGGAAGACAGGATCTTGAGAAGCAGAGACTATCTACCATACCATGGTAAGAAATTTGGATCTTATTCCACAGGTATGCTATGCAGAGAATAAGTGGATCAGATCTTAAGAAAAATAACTGTGACAGCTGTACAGAAGAGGATTACAAAAGCTAGAGACTAAAAAACAGAAGAGTTCTTAAACTGTAACTAGTAAAGTAGGCAGAACAGGGTTTATGAATTGTGCTTTGAAGAAGTAACATATTGTCATTTGCTTGTGTGTCTCTTTTTTTTTTTTTTTTAAAGATTTTATTTATTTTTCAACAGAGGGAGAAAGACAGCGAGAGAGGGAACACAAGCAGGGGGAGTGGGAGAGGGAGAAGCAGGCTCCCCACTGAGCAGGGAGCCCGATGTGGGACTCGATCCCAGGACCCTGGGATCATGACCTGAGCCGAAGGCAGACACTTAATGACTGAGCCACCCAGGCGCCCGCTTGTGTGTCTCTTTATAGGTTTCTCTCCTTTCTTTTTTTTTTTTTTAAGATTTATTTTAGAAAGAGCCAGAGAGCAGGGGGAGGGGCAGAGGGAGAGAGAGAATGTCAAGCAGACTCTGCACTGAGTGCAGAGCTGGACATAGGGCTTGATCCCTGAGGATCATGACATGAGCTGAAATCAAGAGTTAGACACCTAACCGACTGAGCCACCCAGGTGCCCTAAGGTTTCTTAACTCCTCTCCTCTTCAATCCCAAATTTCCCCAATTTGTAACTTCTTAGACAGCAAGGATTACACTTGACTCATCATCTTGGCTCACAGCCTAGTACTGTGTTTGGCACACAGAAAGCACTCAACGAACACTTGAGAGAAGGAAGGGAAAAATGAAGGGGGGCGGAAATCAGAGGGGGAGATGGACCATGAAAAACTATGGACTCCAGGAATCAAACTAAGGGTTTTAGTGGGGCGGGGGGTGGGGGAATGGGTTAGCCTGGTGATGGGTATTAAGGAGGGCACATATCGCATGGAGCACTGGGCGTTATATGCAAACAATGAATCATGGAACACTACATCAAAAACTAATGATATAATGTATGATGACTAACATAACATAAAAAAAAAGAGAAATAAATGGCTGAATGTTCTAAAAGAAATGCTATATAAAATAAGGAGTTTTCAAAAAAAATTTTTAAAGCCTAAAGATACTCCTATAGGATAAAGTAAAAATTATGTGAAGTGAATAAATAAATGGAAAGATGGAATCAGATACCAAAAAGGAGGGTAGAAAAAGTCTGGTGGCTACTGAACTTCACTGATAAATGAGTCAAATTAAGATATGCCATTAAAGAGAAAGTATTTGGGATATAGGAGGTGAAGATTCAAGGAAAAATCCTTTCATTTTTTTGAAAGACAGTAACCGACAATCAGTTTCTTATAGAAACCAAAAACCAGAATTCTTAATCTAGCATGATCATTACTCATGCCTATAGAGAATCAAACAGTAAGACTTAAAAAACTGATCTTTTTCAATTGTTTATAAATTTGCAATCCTGGGGCACCCAGGTGGCTCAGTCAGTTAAGCATATGCCTTCAGCTCAGGTCATGATCCTGGAGTCCTGGGATGGATCCCCACATCCGGCTCCTGCTCAGCAGGGTGCCTGCTTCTCCCTCTCCCTCCTGCTCCCCCTGCTTGTGCTCTCTTTCTCTGTCAAATAAATAAATAAAATCTTAAAAATAAATAAATAAATTTGCAATCGTAAGGATCAGAAACACTAACCATGGTAAATTCACCAACCCTCCAGGCAGCCTTCCCCTTCTGTATCTCAGTGCCTTTCCTTCCAGTACATGCACTGTTCTTTTACTTACTCCCAAATCACTGAAGTTCTTAGTGAATAAGACTCATAAATGTGATCTGAGACAGTGGGAAAGCTTTATTAATATGACAAAATAATTTGGCAGAAAACCTAAAGTCTAAAGTCTGGGAATACATGGAAGTATTTTTTAAATATCCCTCAATTCTAATGTAA